CTACATTAAATGCAGCTTGCTGTAGCTGTAGTCAAACTTGTCAATGACATAAAGTGTTGGCACTGTTGGTAGTGATGATGGTTCAGTTGGTTAATTTGTTCACATTATCACATTTTTATTAGTTTAGTGAACAGTGAACGGGTGAAGAATTGGAGATAGTTCAAACAATTCAAACTAATTATGAAGAGCAAATCAATTGGCATATAAAAGAACAGCTACAACATGTTTAAAATACCCAGATTGTCCTGCTTTGCATGAACAAATACAAATAGATTGTTCTACAGGAGTTCCTTCGAACCCCAACTTCAATTTTACTTCATGTGGGGAAGATTTCATCGCCGAAGTTTGTAGACAAAGTGCAAAAATGTGCCTTTTGTTGAAGTCTTCTCCCTCACACAAAATCACATGATTAGCACGGAGAACTGCTTCTGCTTCCACTACTGGTCGGCCTTTTCCATCTGAATAGAGCAAAATATCTGCCAAAAGAACATCTACAACAGGCATTATCAGCGTTTTCGATCGAATATTGATAATTAATAGCAAGAAATTTGAAAACTTATCACTCTTATCAGTACACAGTACACATGCAAGCGAATGGCACTAATGGGATTGAGTGAGGATTGAGTTTGTTTTCCCCCAGTTTTGACGTGGCTTTGACATGGAACGATGAGAACCGAGCGCCACCTGGTAACATCGATTCCCGCGAATATCTGACTCTTATAGAGGGCGCTAGTTACGCGCTTCATTCCGAGTAATTCTAAGCATTACATTTTTGAGGTCAGATTCTTCAAACGAAGAAAGGAATGCTCGAAGTCATCTACACACATTTCAATGATTTGTTACATAATCATAAGGGACATGTTTCGGTCTCATAATAGATTCTTCAGATCAAATTCCATGTGAACTCAGATATTATATTCAATTTGACACCAATAAGGTACTCCTGATGAAACTCAATGTGTAGGTACCATTTTCGAAATATTTTGTTTGAAGGTGCTGTGTAGTAATAATAGTACCCATCAATTCGAATTCGAACACGATAACATTATTCTTGTGCTGAAGGTATTGATTTGATAAAAGAACCCAAGTAGGAAATCGAGATTTTCACTAAAAACATGAAATATTGAATCAGTATATAGTTGTTGTTCATGGATTTATTATTTTGTTTGTTCTCTATTTGTAAGTTAGTGATTTTGATATTCATTTTGTTCGTGTATTTTTATTCATATTATCAAATGAGCTTTTGGTACTCACATTATTTTTGATGATTTTGTAACATATTCTTTACATGTTGATAACATATACCAATAAGTTCATAATATAGGGGAGAGTGAGGCGAAATGGCTCCCGTTATTATAAGTGGCCCATAAATGACGAAACAGAAGTGAAAACTCAGGAACATTTTATTAGGATAACTAATTGCTAATGAGGAAACATATTTCTCAACGAATTCCATTATATGCTACATAAAGAGAGAAAAAAAAATTTTCTCACAAACATGTAAAAAGGCCATTTTACCCCATGATTGAGGTAAAATGGACCCTGAAATGGGGCAAAATGACCCGTCTATAATTACTCACAGAAATCGCAAACATACATTTTTTGCCTAGCAGTTATTTCCGCACAAAGTTCATAGACTTCCTTGGCCTGTGATTCACTGGATAATCCTGAGCAAAATATACAGGCAGCGTCATCTTCGTCGAATCTTTTTTTGATAGTTTTATTCTTAGTTAACACCTGCCTGGTCACAGCTTTCTCAGCTGCTTGTGAAACTGGACGAGAGGGTTTTGATTTATCCTTCATCAATATTGTAACGGAACAATCAGGTTCCACGTCCTTCCGTTCCTTATATCGCAGCCATTATATTCGCTTCTGTTGATATATAATAAATATAAATTCCTTTAGGCGTGTACATTTTGTTGTTGGGTAGGTACTACTTTGTCTACTAAATAATTGTTTAATTTGTTTTGCTATAATCCTAATTTATTTGAGCATCATTGCGCCATCTACCAACGAGCCAATGAGCTGCAAGACCATCAATGTTGGAGGGATGGTAGAAATCTATCAGTTGTTGTTGTTGGTCGTATACCCTACGGACAGAGGGCTCTACAGGTATGATTTTTTTAAGAATTGTTTTTTGCGCCATTCCACTACACATTTGATTGTGATGAAAACTAGTGTGGGAGATAAAGTTCTTGAACGAGGCCTTTTTGATAGCAAAACATGAAGGCAGTCACACCTCTCTTCGAACTGACTCTCTAATAAAACTTTATGGTAGAACCTAAGGGTCTATAGCTATTGCGAAAACGCTTCGTTTTTGTGACCTGGTCAACTTTACAGGTAGGCGAAATTATGTATTTTTATAAATATTTCCTCAATTTGAAATTTTTTTTTCCACGTGGTCACGAGCTTTGATTTTTGGTTAAGAATTATAATGATTTTCTCAGACCAGATATTGACAATATCATCGAAATTACTCAGAATCAGTTATTTCTCAAGTAGTTGCAAATGAAAGCATCAAATATGTCTTTGAAAGCATTTATTTTCACAAGTAATTCAAATTAATATAAGTCTTGTCTCATTTATATTTGTATAAACTATACAATCATACACTACACTGTTTTACCACTAACCAAACCGATTTTTTAACGCCTCGACACGTGTTTCGCTAACTATGTTAGCATCTTCAGGAGAAGATTAAAACTGTTTTAATCTTCTCCTGAAGATGCTAACATAGTCAGCGAAACACGTGTCGAGGCGTTAAAAAATCGGTTTGGTTAGTGGTAAAACAATGTAGTGTATTATCGTGCCAAAGGTTCCAGTCTTCGATATATACAATCATGGTCAACTTCCCAGTTAACACAGGATATCTTATGGATATCCATTTCAAGTCCTATTCAAGGCGAAATATCCGTGGACATAAAATGTACATCCATAAGATATCCGATTGCGGATGTACTTGAGATATCCGAAACAAACGTCCTGAATACGTCCATGGGATATCCATAAGATACAGAGACAAAAGATCAATACCTACCAAGAAATTTCAAATCGAGTATATACAATGAATGAAATGATAAATAATAGGAGATCCACAAAAGTAACACTTGTGCGTGGATCTTCCAAAAGATAGCACACATTGTGATGCACTATCTGCCATTCTAATTTTCAACGCGAACAGCACGATTTATAGATCATCGATTCTACCAACCTTGGAGTAATCAAATGATGTTAATATATTCTCATATTTGTAATCAATTTGAAGTGAATTTGGAAGTGATTCCTACGAATTCGTCCAAAATTGATGGTGCATAAGAACTGACAACTACATTATTCGAACGCAGAGAGACGTGAGTGCTTCCCAATTTTTGTAATTCTTTCTATATATAGGGTAAACTATCTCATTCATATCCATAGTTGATATCTTATGGATGTCCATAATGAATATCTTCAAGAAATCCAAAAAGTTCACACTGTCACATCCTATGGACGTCCATAGGATATACCAGAGCCTTTTTCGGATATCTTATGGACATCCACAATATCCATGATGGATATCCATAGTATATCCATAAGATGTACTTGTGCTATCTGGGTTTACAGTTTTAGTGAGACAGAGGATCGCCCTGTATAGATGGATATTTAATAACATTCAATAAAAGTACTGAGTGGATTGCGTAATCCTGTGTTATTTCTACGGCCTATTATGGTTACCAACACGGCCAGAATCCCCATAAAAAACCCCTGAGATAATTGTATCATAACAATATACATATAGTTTGGTGTCAATGTAAAAACAGTTGCTCCTTGGGAAGCTCTTGAACTCCTGGTCTGAGGAGGTGCTTTAGGCAGTGGACATAGGTCATATGTATAGTTATCAAAGTCTTCCCTGACAAGCTAGTGAATTTTTCTCTCATAGGCTCTCTGATAGGAAAATTCTTTGAACACAGTGACATTTTGGAGCAAATCATCTGATTTGTCCTTACTACACGTATATTGAAATAATATTGATATTTTTATTTTATAGAAACGAGGAGAGAAATTCCCAAAAAATTTGGAATAATGAATACAAAATCTCTTCATTTTATTGATATAAAATTGTCTGGTACCATCATTGCCACCAAGACCACTATATCTAAGCTCAGTATTAACATCAGCAATGAAGTTGCTTCGAAAAAACTTTTTTATCCTGTGCGAAAATCTACTATACACCTATTACCAGTTTCAGAATACTGTTTACACATATGGGGTTCAGCACTCAAACTTTCGCTGATGCTATTAAATTCAATCCCGAGAATAGTCGTTCGTCTGATGGGTGATGCCACACCCACTATAGTACTTCGACTCCATTGCAAAACAGTAAAAACATCGGCGACTACTTCACTTTTTTATGAATACTTCCGCGGAGAATGTTTCCCAGAAATCTCTGCTATAATTCCACCATTAGCGATACCAGTCAGATAAACTGGACAGGCACAGTCAGCACATCCTTTAGTTGTCTACCTTATTGAGATATGTCGAACAACACCCTACCAAAACTCGATCGTCTATAGAACGGCAAAACTTTCGAATTTTTTGCCAATGGAATTATTCCCAGAAAAAGGTCCAATAACTGCCTCCTGTTCCTCCCCTCCCTATGTAGGCACGATGTTCTTTGATCATCATTGGAATTCCGGTTCGTGTGCTCCAAGAGATGAATAAAGCGATACACATCGTATAAAAAAACCTTGAAAATACTTCTGCAAAACTCAACGTATCGTTAATAAAATATTCGTTTTAGATACGTCTAATTTGAATCTTCAATTTGAATCAAAGTACGTCTGTGAGACGGATCAAAAACGTCTCGTCTCAAAGATGGCTAATCACGTCCAATGTATCTGATGCAAGTTTCATCAACATTAACATAACAGCCTATATTTTATTAATTGAATGATGCTTTTATGTGTATTCGATTCATATCTGTGTTATTGGAGGTAGTAAAAAGATACATTTATAATATTACGAATTTAATCACCAATGAAACATGATCTTACCCAGTGCTTCAATAATTATTATTATAGTGCAAATATTGCACTATGAAAATGCTCAGGCGATTTTTTTCATATTAAGAATGATTTCAACTTCTGGACTAACCAGAAAAGCTTTCTTGAGAAGTCCTAACGGAATCTTCGTCTTCTGGCAGGGTTCCAATTCGAAATTAGATATGATATGCATAATTATAATTTTACATTCAAGTAAACTGAATCTTTGTCCGATGCAGCTACGAGGGCCAAAACCGAAAGGGTTATAGGAATAGGGATATATTTCTGTCTTTCTCTCTTCATTGAACCTCTCTGGATCGAATTTCTCCGGATCCGGGAAATATTTGGCATCGCGGTGTATGGACCAAACGGGTATCCACAATAGGGTTCCTTTTTCAATGATAATGGGTTGCTCGGCTGGGTTGACTCGTTCTATTTTGTAGGATTTTGTGCATATTCTGTCTATTCCACCCATGATGGGCCATTTCCTCAGCGATTCTGCAAAATAATATGATGATATAGCATAACGATGTCAGCTGCGGTAGCTGACACATAACTGTCCTAATAACACACTTATGTCCCATGGATATCCTTAGGATATCCTGTCGGGATATTCAGGACGTCCATAGGACGTTCGAATTTGGTACCGCGGACTGCCATTGGACGTCTGTGGGACGCACAAATGTCCCACTTGAGGACCAACTAGAGACGTCCTTGAGGGATGTCCCTTGGACGACTATCGAATACCTAAATCCTACAGTATTTTTCATCAAGCACTACAGAGGACAACCTTAGGACATCCATAGGACGATCTATCAGCAACGCTGAGGGATATCAATTGGATGTCCATAATATGTCCCAGGGACGTACGAATTATTCTTGAATTTGAATTTTTCTGGGTCCCTCTAGGACTAGATCTTGCATAACTGAATAGGACATCCAGTTAAGTTGATGGTCCGTAGACGGTCCCCAAAAAGTCTCCCAAGGATGTCCAATGGACTTACGTGAAGGACATTGACGAGGAGTACTTATAGCCTACGAGCAATCATACGTCGGCGAGGTGTAAGTTAACGTCCTCGCAGGGACAACATATTGAAAGTACTGACTGGGACGTCCATAGGACGTTATTTCTAGGACATTGAAAGAGTACAGTTCATGTACCAATTGGGACATCCGACGGATATCTCTAAGGGTCATTTCGATTGTTATACGATCCTGGAAATATTAAGGGCGTCTGTGCAGAGATATTTGAAGGATTGTAACATCAGGGACATTTCATGGTTGTCTAGAAGGGACATTATATAAGATCTGAAGTCATGCCAGAATATGTACTACTCGGGACATCCGATGGATGTCCCTAAAGGAACGTTTAAAATCATAGCCCATCAGGAACATGCCAAGGACGTCCTTGTATGGACATTCTACAATATGTACCACGTAGGACGTCTAAGGGATGCTATTTCTAGGACATTTGAAATGATGTACCAGCTGGGACATCCCGCGGACGTCCTTGCTCGGACATTGCATGAGATGTACGGGATGGGACGTTCCAAGGACACTTATTTTTGGTTGGGACATTCGGACGTGGATTGTACCAAATAGGGACGTCCCTAGGACGTTGTGTGCTATAAAAGGGTGATTGTTGCCTACTAAAAACACAAATAATGATCAATCTAACAGAAATCTTCAATGGAGAGGAATATTTTCAGATATAATAATGAACATAAAAAAATGGAAATATACAGGGTGTCCCGAAATTAGCCTGCCAAACTTCACCAGCGGCTTTTACTACCAAAAATAGAAAGAAAACTCTCAATGAACATGGAACGAGAAATGTCTCCTGAGGAAGCTATGGCCCCCCTGAAGGGGGCCCTTGAAGATGATATTTCTTGAGTATTTCCGATACCCCATGTAATAAAAAGATGCCCTTTGGTACAAGAACTGAAATTTCTATGCCCAATAATGAGGTGTGAATAAAATCATTACAAAATTCCATCAGGAGTGTATAATACAGGGTGGGACTATATTAAATACTGCTCTAAATTTTTTACTCTTGTTTCGTGACGATCGAATGTATTGTTATCGAGTGAAAGCAATTCAAGAATATTGTTACATCTCAGACATTATGCATACCATTGCAATGAGGCGTAGTGAAAATGAAAAAAAAAAATGCACAAAAATTGTAGTAGTTTTTTCATCATCATTTTCCTATTTTTTGCACTTTTATGAGATTGTTTGGTAAGAAGAAAGTACTTGATTTCTTTATAGCCACTATGAGTTGAAAATTTGCAACGTTATGCATAAGATGTGAGTGCATCAATATTTTTCAATCGATTTCACTCGAAAATGATACATCTGATCATTGCGGAACACGAGCACTTATTTTCGTGAAATGGTGTGGATTTTCATGATTCGAGAATAAATTGTCAAAAAATATGCATACGAAAGAGTTTGAGCAATATTTATTGTAGTCCCACCCTGTATTTCACACTCCTGAATGAAATTGTGAAATGATTTCATGGTCCCGCATTGAACATAAAAAGTTTATTTCTTGTACCAAATTGTATCATTTCATCACGTGGCGTTTCGGATATATTCAAGAAATATCATCTTCAGAAGCCCCCTTCCAGGGGGCCGAAGCTCCCTTAGGAGACATTTCTCGACTCATGTTCATTGAAACTTTTCTTCCTATTTTTGGCCAAAGAAGCCGCTGGTGAAGTTTGGCAGGCTAATATCGGTACACCCTGTATATAAAGGAAAACATTGAGAATTCGCATTCTCTATGTGATGAAAATATGAACTCTTTCTCTGTTTATTCAACAGAAAACAAATACTTTTCTGGCTATATGCCACGACGAACATTGCATTATATCTATTGAACATACACGATGGGAATTCGACAACAAAATCTCCTGAAGTAGAGGATTTGCATCCATATAAATATATATGTATATGTACAGGGTGGCCAACTAAGACTCCAGAGTTCGATTTCTCTGTTGTCTTGAGAGATACAAAAAAAGTCATGTATCAAAATTGGAGTAATAACCGAGCTGCACATTTCAAAATTATTTTGGAATAGACAGGGTGCTCTATGAGGTAACAGCATATGTTTGTTCCATATGAACACCCTATATATATATTATTTCATGATTTCAACATCTTATCATACTTGGGGTCTAGCAGTAATATTTACTGAGATAAAGGGTGTGGAAAATCAAGATTTTCCAAGTTCAGGACCTTTTTTGGGTAGAAACTATTTATTATACTTCAAAACGGTTTACATGTCCCTATCTCAACTTTTCACTCACTATCAATTGGTGTTCAATTGAAATTGATACAAAGTGATCAAAAACTCTAAATTTATAATTTGTTCCAATTAAATGTCAATTGAACACCAATTGATAGTGAGTGAGAAGTTCAGATAGGGACATGTAAACCGTTTTGACGAATAATAATAAATAATAAGTTTCGACAGAAAAAATCCTGAACTTGAAAATCTCGATTTTGCACACTCTATATGTCAGTAACTTTCACTGCTAGACCCTAAGTATGATGGGCCGTTGAAATCAGATCTTCAGGGAGAATTCAAAAATGAAATGAAATATAGGGTATTTCAATGAAAAAAACATAGCTTTGATGTGCTGTGACCTTACGGAACACCCTGTGTATTTAAAAGAAATTTTTAAATGTGAAGCTCGGTTATTATCACTTCGATTTGAATGCAAAATTTCTTTTCACTTCTGACACCAATTGTTACGTTATTCGGGTGCAGAAGCGAACACGACACTATTTATTTTCGAACGGATTTATTTAAACTGAAGAAACACTGATTTATATCGAACTTATATCTACTATTTATGCAAAACGATTTATATCACGCGGTATGTGACTGTCTCTCTGACACTCGCTGCTCAACTGACTGACGGCAGTTATTCGGCCGTTTATATATGAGATCACTTGGCAGGCTTTGGTTCGAGAACCTTCTCGAATGATCTTCCGTCTCCTTCTTTTTGTTCTATATAGAAGCTTCTCTAACTTCCCAAACTTCCTCATGAACTTGTTCGCTATTCCTTGAGACATCTGAAGATCCTCGGCGACGCAGTGAGCTAGTGCGTATTCTACAGGAATGGCAAATAGGTCGCGGTGCTCTACCTTGGTGACGCCAAATCTTGTTTTTGATGAACCACTGTATGTCCCAATGAATTCGTCGAATGTGAGCTCCTTTTCTTTCGGACAAATTTGTTGAACTTGTTGTTCTTGTGTTCTCTCGAATGGTGCTATAGTCTGTTGAAATGAACGACTCTTGGTTTGCCACTGGGTTCTTTACTGATGCGGTAGATGACATCGTTGATATCCTTCTTGACGGTATAAGGTCCGTCCCAAGATCTCTGCAGTGTTGGACAAATACCTCGTTTCCTTTGTGGATTGTACAACCACACCAGGTCTTCTTCTGCGTATCCTGCACCCCCAGCTCTGATGTCGTATCGGTCTTTCATGCGATCGCTGGCGATTTTCTGATCTGAACGAACCAATTCGTGAATATCGTTCATCTTTTTCATCAGATTCGTGACGTAATCTTCCCCCACTATGTCCTCACCAGGTCGACATCCGAAGACCAAGTCACATGGAAGCCTCATTTCTCGTCCAAATAGAAACTTCGCCGGAGTCTGTCCTGTAGATTCCTGTACTGCAGATCTGTAGGCCATCGAGAAGAAAGGAATATATTGATCCCAGTCTTGTTGGTGTTGATCTACGACTTTGCAGAGATACCTCCCTATGGTTCAATTCATTCGCTCCACCATGCCATCTGACTGTAGATGCAATGGAGTTGTTCTTGTATTCTTGATTCCTAACTTCTCGCTCATCTTCTTAAACACTTCACTCTCGAAGTTCCGGCCCCGATCAGAGTGAAGTTCCAATGGCACCCCAAAACGACTGATGAGTTGATTCATTAGGACATCGGCGACAGTTACGGCTTCCTGGTTAGGGATCGCATACGCTTCCACCCACTTGGTGAAGTAGTCCATGCAGACAAGGATGTATTTATTTCCATTATCAGTCACTGGAAACGGCCCCGCAATATCCAGGGCAATCCTCTCGAAAAGGCTTCCAACATTGTACTGTCTCATTGGTGCCCTTGGTTTACGATGAGGCCCATTGCTGGCAAAGCACACGGTGCATTTACGGCACCACTCCCTGACGTCGTCACTGCAGTTCACCCAGTAGAACCGCTCTCTTACCCGCTGCAGTGTCTTCCTCACTCCTAGATGTCCCCTTGAAGTTCCATCATGTACATATCCAAGTATTTCCAACACTCGGCTCCTATGAATGACCAACTGCATTCGATTATCCGACCCATCATCGCTCTCGAGATTCCTCTTGAGCAGGTCATCTTCTAATACCAAGGAGTCCCACTGACTCCAGTACGCCTTCAAAGTCTGTGAAGATGGTGCTACTTCTTGCCAAGAAGGACGGCGATTCGCTTCCTTCCATTCTCGAAGTTTCCGAAGTTCTGGGTCCTTTTCTCGCTCTTGCTTGATTACTGCAGGTAACCAATCTTCATTGACAATGGTGGTTTTGTAGAGGGCTGCTTCCTTTTCCTCCAAACGACTACAATGTGAGCACTCAGGTGGACATGGCCTTCTGGACAATGCATCTGCATTCTTATGGCTCGTCCCCATTCGGTGTGCTATCTCGAAGTCATATTCCTGGAGCCTCTCGATCTAACGAGCTACTTGGCCTCCGGGGTTCTTGAAATTCAGGAGCCACTTCAATGCAGCGTGGTCCGTTCTGAGTAGGAATTTTTGTCCATAGAGGTACTTATAGAAGTGCTCCACCGATTTTACCATGGCCAATAGTTCCCTCCTGGTAACGCAGTAGTTACGTTCTGCCTTTGATAGCACCTTGCTGAAGTAACCGATGACTCGCTCTCGCCCAACTCGTCTCTGCTGCAAGCGACTCCCTCAACAACTGAAAGAAGGAAGATGGAAGAACTCGTTTCTGCGTAGACTATCGCCGATTGAACAACGTGACGAAGAAGGGCAGCTATCCTTTGCCTCGAATTGACGACACACTCGACACGTTGGCGGAATCGAATCTCTTCTCCACTCTGGAGACATAGGTATCGAACTCTGGATTCTTAGTTGGCCACACTGTACATAATATCATGCTGAATATTCAACAGAAAACAATCACTTTCCTGGCTATTTGCCACGTCGAACATTGAATTATATTATTATATTGACATCATCTCTCAAATCGGATAGAATAGTATAATAAATTATGATATAAAAATATAACTTACAAACATGATCAGTATTGAAATGAAAATTGAAATGAATAGGAGAAGCATACTTGTATGAACTCCGTGTGTTCAATAGATATAAAATTCAATGTTCGTTGTGGCATATAGCCAGGAAAGTTGTTGTTTTCTGTTGAATGAACCGAGAAAGAATTCATATTTTCATCACATGGAGAATGCGAATTCTCAATGTATTTCTTTATATACCGGGTGACACAGGAGACATGTAACAGCCTGTAGTTTTTTCATTTGAAGAGATACAAATTTGAAATTCACAAGGGTCATATTATGATCGAAGATGTCGCTTACCTTGATCCCAATGACAATTCTCTTCATCCACCTGTTTGATCGGAAGTAGACCCAACAGTTATACCTTGAAAATATTATTGACATGTCAGGTCTGCTTAGCATGACTTGTCAGTATGGAATATTCGTGTTTGTCAGTCAAGACATGTCATGTATTTGAATATGGATTGAGTCGAGTACATTGGGATTCTACTATATGAAATTATATGAAGTCGTTGTTTTGTTTAGTGGTTATTTCATCATCTTAAGTTACAACACCAACTTTGTTTTTCCGAATGACAACTTGAATATTTTTGTTGCCTATCTTATTTGCCTTAAAATTCCCTATTCAACTATGTATCACAATTCGATATTCGTTAATTAATTGGCTGTGAAATTGTATTTCATTGAAATACATGAAGTTGGCAGAGACCCGAATGCAATGATGTTTTGATGCTTGATAGGCTAAGAAAGCCAAAGATCGTTACTTAGACGATATTATCAGAATATTTTCTATACCCTTATCGGTCCCAGAGGGTTCCCAATAATTTCATTGAGTTTGAAAAAATCATCCGAAAATAACACACCATATTGAGGAAACTAACATAGAAACTCAGTTCCTTTCATTTGGCTACTTGTGAAATAACTATTAGTCTTTCATCTTTGTCAAGTAGCCATAATTTGATTATCCATTCGTATACATGAAACTGAAAATGTTGTAATAATTGATGTATCGTTCTAATATCGTGAGTTATTTTCGCATGATTTTTTTGTTCTCAATGAAATTATTTGCAATATTTTGGGACCGATTAGGGTATGGAAAATATTCTGATAATATTGTCTAAGTGATGATCTTTGGATTCCTAAGCCTATCAAGCATCGAAATGTCATTGTATTCCGGCCACAGCCAACTTCATGTATCTCAATGAAATGCAATTCAACAGTCAAATGATGAACGAATATCAAATTGTGATACATAGTTGAATAGAGAATTTTAAGGCAAATAAGATAGACTACAGAAATATATGGGGTGCCATTTGAAAAAAAAAAGTTGGGACTACTTCCAATCAAACAGGTGATTAAAAAAAGTTGTCATTGGGTTCAAAAAAAAACGCCATCATCGATAATATAACCCTTGTAAATTTCAAATTTTTATCTCTCCAACTAAAAAAACTACAGGCTGTTACATGTTTCATGTGTCACCCGGTATATATCCATTTTTTTATGTTCATGATTATATCTGAGAATATTCCTTTCTAATACTTCCACCCAATCAAGGAGTTCAAACTTGAACGATGGAAACTTGTTATTTTTATGGACCTTCAATCGCAGATTCGTGATTAGGATTTCACAATTCAGAATTCCTTTCCACGTCCTGTATGATGAATATCAATTTATCATACATTCAAAAACAAAAATCTTTACAGTTTCTGTTTAGTCCAGTACCTTCATTCATCACAGCATGCGTCAAATTCGGTAGTTCTTATTCTTTGCAGGTTTTTTTATGATGTTGGCCTAATGCATAGGCAAAGTTTGTGACCTCAACCGCTGAACGCAACTGTGTCAAAAATCGAAAAAACAGCGAAAAAATCGTTTCTATTCAACTTTGGCGATACAACCCTAATGGACTAGTTTTTGGAAACACGTTTACAAGACTTTCTGATAGTAGATCCAAATGTAAACAATATGATACTATTGACACATATGCGTTAGTAATAAGGGGTTTATACAGGGTGTCCCGTGAAGACCACGTAAATCCTAGGGAGAATGTAAATAGATCAAAGGATAACCCATCACCTGCTATGACAAAATTTCCATCATAAAAGTCTTACCGTTTTTGATATACAGGATGTAACTTAATAAGTGTAAAACATTCAAGGGGCTGATTCTTTATCGAAAAATAGATAGGATCTTTCATATAAAGAAACTTCATTGGAGCATCATGTTATGAGATGCAGCTCCTTGAAGGTGGTGGATCAAATTTGTTTAACAATTTCTTTCACAAATCAAGAACAGAACAACAATACACAATTAGTATCACTTCAAGTTTGACGATTTACAAACTGCCATCTTGATACCAATTTAATTGTCACTATCGCTAATAGCTGCCTACTAAATTAGTTTTGTATTTTCGTTTCATGGCGATATATTATGTATGTTCAAAGGAAAAAACACAAACACTAAGTCGGTCGACCACAAAGTTCAATCACAAAAAGATTTTTTGTGACTAGTTTCGGCTCAAGCAGTTATCTTCAGACACAATATAGTACCTGTAAATATATTGGTTTACAAGAATAAAATGACATATTGAGGAAAAAACATACCTATAAAAGGACACGTGGAATCACATACTTGATTTAATTGAAATATGAATAGCAAGGGTCATTTGGCCAAAATTCAATCCGGTGAAAAAATTGGTATTCTTTTGAACCGACTGAACAGCCAAAAGAACCTAATAATGATTAGATTCAACATTGGCAGAAATTGGAAAAACCAGCAGTTAATTAACTGAATTAACTGCTGGTTTTTCCTGGACCACTTTGAGAAGGATGGATGGTTTCTATGACTCATTATGTATGTTGTTCGTTAAATAATTTTTTGCTGCGAACTGGTTTATTTTGGGCAAACAAATCAGGGGACACTTTTTGTTTAGAATGAAACAGGCTATCGGAAATAAATCTTCAAATGGTGAAGAAATGATAAGAAAAAAAGTTACATTGGGAATAAAATCTAGGGGTTGCGTTTTCCACCCCTTACAAACATGGGGTAAACCAACTAAATTACTGGGTAAGTGTCTTTTCGGCAGTAGAAAATGTCAGATTAATTCCAATACTGCAACTTTGTTAGTGCTTGTGACAAAAAATTGTCGAACAAATTTTATGTACCCCCTTCAAGGTGCTGTATCAACATGGGATTCAATGAAGTTTCTTTATATGAAACACCCTATCTTTTTTTCCGATGAGGAATCACCTCCCCAATTGCTGTACACTTATTTAGTTGCACCCTGTATATATTTTTTTAATATTGATTTTCTGCCCCATTCAATAGTTTTGTATGTATGGTTGATACAATTTTACACCTTCTTGATTCATTTTTTCAGTAGATATTGCTGAAAAATGATATCAACGTATACATTAAAAACATTCTCCGAACATTTTAAAGGGGAGGCTGTGAGAAATATCTTCATTGGAAACTTTGGTAGTGGATATTAACCCTTAATTACTCGAACTGGTGTATTTTGTACACCAGCGCCAAATTTCTTGCTACCATCGAACGTAGAATTTTTTTTGTGGCTCTAGACTCCCACCTAACCTATGTCTAACATGTCTGGGATGTGATAGATCAATCAGTTTTGTGTGTGTGTTTCTACGTAAATTTTGACGCGTTGTCACGTTGGTGCCCGTTGGTGCCTAGAATACAATACACTGCGTGGGAAAAAGGGTAAATTATCTAAGTATTCAATATTGTATACAAACACGTTAGTTGTGTATCATGTGGACGCACTGAAAACAGAGTGACTTTTTTTTTTTAATTGCATTTCCTCGTTGGACCCAGCACTGGATCCAACGCCCCATAAGTCGAAACTTGTGCGGGGTTAGGAAAGCATACGTTTTTGTTTCACCTGAAAACAAGTCAAATTCATGGTGGTGTACAAAATACACCGCGCGGGAAAAAGTTCGAATTAATTAGCGCGAGTAATCAAGGGTTAAAAAGAAAAAAATGAAATCTCGATAACGGTGAGACTTTTATAATGGAAATTTTGCCATATGGGGCCTATGAGGGTGGGTTATCCTTTGATCTACATTCTCCCTAGGTTTGACGTGGTCCTTACGGGACACCCTGTATAATATCAGTTTCCTGAGCGATTTGTCAACTCACCTGAAATAACCATGTCCATGTAGTCCATTTTCATTATAGCTTCGTATGTTATTTTCCCATCATTTTCTCTAGAGACATCGCCGATTTCTTTTCTTAGTCGTTCCTGCACTCCCTTATTGATTGCCAGTTCGTAACATATGAAACTGAGTAGTTTACTAACTGTATCGAATCCTCCAAGGAAAAATATCATGGCCTGAGATAAGATATCGTCATCATCCAATTTTCGTGATGAGTTTACTGAAACAAGAAATAACGGAGGAAATATGATAAAATGCAACATTTTCACACTCCGCTCCGCGTCGTTCGTGTCAACGGCAGTCGCGTGCAGGAAAGAATCACTTTCCGCATTTGTTAGGAAAATTACTATTTCCTACGAGCATGCGGACGCACGTTTTTTCGATTAGAAAATTATACTTTCTCGTACGATTTCTGTTTTCCGCACGAGTTTTACTGTTTCGCACGATTTTTACTTTCCTGTGAATAAATCAATAAAATCGCGCGGAAAAGTTTTAATCATTCGTACTGTACTGAGAAGTTACTTATCCGCAAGATTTTTGTATTGTAGAAAATGAGGATATTATTAGAACTAACTAACTGATCTATGTTGTCGAAGTCAGTTGAAGCACCTCGAGAAAAACATACAGGGTAATAACAAATAAGTGCCACAACTGAAAACTGTAGATTGCTCATGAAAAAAGAAACCTTTTTTCATCAATAATGACTACTTCTGTGGCACTTGATCAATTTCTTTGGACACGTCAGTGGAGGAGAATTCAATGCCTCGTGAGAGCTCAACCCCCAAACATCTATGCCACTGGAGAAATTGTAATTTCCAAAGTAGATTCTGAAGCGCCAATATCTTTCACACAAAAACGTCTTCTTGTCTCCATGCTCTAAAGTGAACAGTTTCCGTGTTTAACTAAACTGAACATTTTTGATTTTTTGACGCTCTGTATCTTGAAAACGAAAGCCCGAAGAAAAATTTTGGAGGTGAAAGAAATGTTTCTTTTATTATAAGGAATCTACAGTTTTCCTTTGTGACACTTATTTGTTAACACCCTGTATAGTTACGCAGAGCGGTTTCGTTCCTTTTGAAGTTCGTTTGGAGTCCGTGCACGAGCGTTACCACCGATAAAACAAGGCCTGCATGCTCCGTGGGTGACGTCACTTAGTCAGGCCTAACCAACGGCTCGAAACGACAAGCGCTTATAGCGCTATAAGGCGACCGCGTATTTCGATTTCAGTTTTAGATTATTATTGAGCCGATTTTGCTTTTTTTTAAGGGCTTCCGGATGAAAGAGGATGCCAGCCGTCAACTGAGCCCTTCTTCGCATCCCATTCGATTTTATTATGAAAAAACGAAGTTTCAAAGCAAATACCAGAATAAAACACAAATACCCACCTACAGCAACCCATTCGAATTGAATATATATTGGCAAAAATTGTAGTGATTCAATCTCATTAGAGGTAAACTTCACACCTACTTATAGAGGGCCCGCAGAACATAAACTTATCATGAGATTGATCGAAAGAAAATTAGGGAAAATGTATTTCAGTTTGATAGACATGCCGTTTGTTATAACCTTATTACCTATATTTATTTTGAAGAATTCCTATTAGGTACCTACAAAAATTAGCCAGTGAGTGTTTTCAATTTCCTGTTGTTGGATTTTTCACCCAATCGGTCGTTAGACTTGAAACAGTAATTTTTAAGTAGAGTGTTCGTAGTACATGTTAATATAATAGTTGCAATTTGATCATTGAAATGAATTCTGCATTCATTGCCACGAGGCAAATGACCGTTTTCAGAAAGAAATTTGAGAATGCATTGTGTCAGAAACCAAAGAGTCCAATACATTCTAAATATGTTTCAAAACCCTCTATTTCTGATTATCAAGACATTTTCCCGGATTATGTATCTCGTTTTTATCTATTTCAATTAGTAATTCCTTGATTTGATTGATATTATTAGAGATAAAAGGTGTTTTCAGATTTGCTTTTAGAGATGTTTGTATCGCTAGGTCATACAAAAATGATGAGAATTAGACAATTTGAATAATGTGACTTTTTGCAAATCGATAATTTTGAACCACTTTTCGGGCAACTGAAAAGACTCTAATACAATTCGAAATTCTTGAAATTCTGTGTAGCAAAATGATTTTTGGTAATTTTCGAATTCAGTTTTACTTTTGGTGAGTGCTTGTGCCAAATTTTTAGTCTCTAGTATCTCAAGTTTTTCATCACGACTTGTGCGTAATTTTACATCTTTCGATAAATAAGATAGACAGTTGGGAAATTGAGTGGAAATAACATCTCGTTTGAGCGTAGGAATTTTCAAATCTATTGTTACAGTTTTGCCAGTTTTTGAATCGGTTGCAGTAGATGAAGTGATAATATCATCTTTAGTTAAATGTAATTCACATACTTTACTGTACTTAGATGGAGTCGTGAATTCCTTGCGGTGAATTGCATTTACCCACTTTTTCGATAGTTCCTTGTCCAACGGGAAACTAAAAGCATGAACTTTTGGACCACCCACATAATTCCCCCGACAAAAGGGAACACAACACTTGTAAGGCATTGTTATTTCGCCTATCACAGCACGAAATATTTCACAAAACAGTAATTTCTCCGTCAATTATTTTGATGAATACACAACAAGAGATTTCGAGCACACGCGATTTACCTACGCCACCGTTCTTGAACAAAAACAAACTGACGATCGATCGACGCAAATGCCTTGGAAGATGGCCTGAGTATGCGACGTCACGAGCTGTTTACGTCAGAGTCTACGGCACGAGGCAGACATTCACAGATTGGGTTTGTGCAATTCAACATTGTTTCCTTTTCAATTCATTGTACAACTGGCAAATGCTCCAACTGACTTTGAATAGACTTTAACTATTTTGTCTTTTGTGTCATTTGGTAGCATTATTCAAAAATCTCAATTAAAAACTTTGTTTTTTCATGAATAATATGAACAAAAACACTCGAAGGAAACACATTGTTCCTAATTCTTGCAAAAGAGTACTGCTTTCCGCACTTTTTAGGTAAATTGTTATTCGCGCATCTTCATGTGTTGTTTGTTTCATTTTGTTGTTCATAGGTCAGTGTATGATGGTAAAATATGTGTCGAGAATAGTTTTTTGTACGGAAGTTAGTATATTCACTTTCCGTTTGTTGTTGATAGACTGATATAAGTAGATATACAATTTTCAAATATAAGTATACCTTTTTTTACTGCTGATTGGGCTTCCAAAAGCGAGTCTATGAGATCTGAACGGTATGTTCCGGAATTCTTCCTCATCTGTAGTGAATCTTGAAGAACGTTGAAGAAGTAATTTCTGACATCCTCTTCGAAAAACCTCAAACCGAGCATCTGGAAGTATTTTCAATGGTCGAATTAATTCTACCAGGTGACTCGGAATTTACCCTACTGTATCTTCGTTGCTATTTTGTATGAATGTTTCAAATCTATCAGACCAAATATGACACTTTACCGGAATTACGTCTTTTTGTTTCTATTTCGCATCCTCTGGAAATCATGATTCAGTATAAAATTGCCTTTCAATCAATAATCTATTCATATAATTGAGGTTTTATAAAAAATATACTTTTTGTACTCCCCTCGTAACTTTCAGGAAAGTAATCAAATTATCAAATTTTGTTGCGTCAGATATTGCAGTTTCAATAATCATTCTGAAACCATAGAAACAATTCCATTACTAATATGAAGTTGAAGTATAGATAGCATTTAGAATATCTTCATTGTCACTAAAATAGGAAAACAGGAAATTTTTTCTGTCTTGTATATCAATAAGTATGGAAATTTCTTACAAACATCAGAAAACTCTATGAAATAATCAGTTCAATGGTTGTGAAAAACAAAGAAAAACCAAAATTGTGAAAAATAGGTAGTGTGATCGAAAATCATTTTGTAAATACATTGACATCGAATATCTGTTACTCACATGCTATTGTTTCAATATTCATATATATATATATATATATATATAAAAACTCTTAAATTATTTGGGACTGCAGCAAAACGAAGGTGTACTCTTATAACATTATATTTCCAATATTTCGACAATGAATATTGTCATCATCAGGGAGCTACAATTTATGAAAATTTCTTTAAAAAGGCTCTGTAAAATTATCAGTAAAGTTCTTACAATGTCAGTGAGAATGGTCGTTGAAAGATGGTAACAGTAGTAGATTCACAAGACACATCAGTAATTTGTAATACATTAGAACAGTGGACACAAGATCAATTTAAAATTGTAAAAGTTGAAAATAGTAAAATGAGATTTATTTTTTATTGAATTTTATTTATAAATTTTTTATATTCGGCTGCCGAAACACATGGCCATGCTCGAATTTGTTGAGAAATTTGCGGGAACTTATATTGAGGTTAACAATGACAATTGTCAATTGACACTAAGTCAGTCATTTGTCAATTGTTACTGCTTGTGGGACATGTAGGTAGTATACAGTTGGTACAGTTACAGTTACTTCTAAAGATGAGATATTATCTAATATTGAATAAGTTATTATTAATTGTTATAGACTTTGATAGAAAATTTTTTATATTATTGGATGTATTTAAAAAGTTGAAATGTTGTTGAGAGCTCTGGGATTCTTATCTAACAAAAGTAAGTATGAATAAATTTCACTTAAATGATTCAGATCTGTTCTTTTATTCAAGCTGTTTGTAGATTGGGATATGAATGTCATTTCCAAAAAAATTCGTTTTGTATTGTTTTTTTTTTCTTTTGCTAAGATTTTGGTGGAGTTATAGTCCATGTTATGACCTTCTTTGAAAACATGTTCACTGAGAGCACATCTTTCAGGGTGCAGTCTGCTGTCACTTTTGTGGGACGTTATGCGGTCTTTGAGTAACCTAGAAGTCTGGCCTATGTATTCATGGTTGCAGTTTGAACAAGGAATGCAATATATTACATTTGATTGATGTGGTATTGGAACTCTGTCTTTGACCACAGAAAATAAAGAGTTTAAAGTTAACACTGTTTTTTTTGAGATTTTTAAATTTCCTAGTGTATTGAAAATTCTAGATAATTTTGGAGTGATTTCTGCAATAAATGGTAAAGAGATGTAGAGAAGATTATTTTGAGAATTATTATTTGTATTGTTAATATTTTCAGGAACTATTTGATTGATCATTTGGTTTATGGGTGGAGTGCTATATAAAATCTTGTTAAGTAATGATGAAGGGTATGCATTTTGTGAAAACAAGGTGTGAAGAATTTTCAGATTTTTTTGGTGGAAAGAAGGATCAGAGATACGTAGCACTCGTTGCTTCATTTGCTTGATCAAGTTGATTTTTATCGATTGTCTGTGGTAGGACCAGTAGTTCATATATCTGCCAGAACTCATAGGTTTCCTATACCAGTCAATTAATATTGTGTTATCCTGGGTACGAATCAGTCTAGTGTCCAAAAATGGAACACTACAGTTTTCGTCTTCTTTCTCAATAGTAAATTGAATGTAGGGATCGAAGCTATTGAATACATCTAGAGTTTCAGTTATCTCTGATTGAGGAAGGGCTAAGATGATGTCATCCACGTATTTTCTTATAAAGAAAACATTGAAGGGAAGGACATTCAAGACATTATCTAGCACTTCGTCCATAACATAATTTGCCAAAATAGGACTTATTTTTGCTCCCATAGGAGTGCCAAAAGTTTGCTTATAAATTTGATTGTTGAATGAGAAATATGTATTGTTAAAGAGGAAGGTTAATAATTTAATGAAATCATCTTCACAAATATTGCAAAAATTACTTATTTGGTTCCAATTTTTATGTATTGATCTGATACAAGCATCTAAGTAAACATTGCTGAAAAGTGAAACCACGTCCAGACTTGCTAGTACATAGTTGTCAGGAAGTTGCATTTTATTAAATTTTGATGAAAGGTCAAAAGAATCCTTGATATAATAAGGATTTTCAAAATCGTATGCCCTTGTCAGTATATCTGTCAAAAAAGAAGCCAAAAGTTCAAGAGGATTATTATTAGAAGCAATGATGACTGACTTAGTGTCAATTGACAATTGTCATTGTTAACCTCAATATAAGTTCCCGCAAATTTCTCAACAAATTCGAGCATAGCCATGTGTTTCGGCAGCCGAATATAAAAAATTTATAAATAAAATTCAATAAAAAATAAATCTCATTTTACTATTTTCAACTTTTACAATTTTAAATTGATCTTGTGTCCACTGTTCTAATGTATTACAAATTACTGATGTGTCTTGTGAATCTACTACTGTTACCATCTTTCAACGACCATTCTCACTGACATTGTAAGTACTTTACTGATAATTTTACAGAGCCTTTTTAAAGAAATTTTCATAAATTGTAGCTCCCTGATGATGACAATATTCATTGTCGAAATATTGGAAATATAATGTTATAAGAGTACACCTTCGTTTTGCTGCAGTCCCAAATAATTTAAGAGTTTTTAACCAACTAGTCAGCAAAAGACTACCCTTCTGCTTCTATATATATATATATATTATGATAATATTTCGGATACAGAGAGTATTTTCATGTATACATACACAGAGAAAAAGGACTTGTTGAATCAGGCAAAATTTAATTTAAAGAAGCAAATAAAAGTATCATATATTATGCACGACAAAATATAATCTTGAAATGACTAAATCTATATCTTGTTCCAGAGCGAATTTGAAGTTTATAAGTAAATATGTCTTGCATGAACTCTGGATCTCATTCAATCAAGCACATCGATAAATTGTGTATGAAGATATATTGGATTGGCTCAAACAATCATTTTGTTTGATTAAAAATAGCAAGATATTGATTCATTCAAATATCTAGTTGATTCAATGAAATTTTTGGTTGATTCGAAGAAATATCTGGTTGATTCAAGAAAAACTGCATTTCCATTCGACAAATTGTTTTTCCTCCGATTGGCAGCAAATATCAATTTCGCTGACACATATCAATCAGCAAAGTATTACTTTTCCTGCCTAGGCAGCAAAGTGGGTATTTTGCTGCCTAGGCAGCAAAGTGGCTACTTTGCTGATTGATATGTATCAGCAAAATTAAAAATCCATAAATCGTTTATAATTTCCTTCATATTTCATCCGAGACTTCTCCGGCAACAAATTCAACTCTGTATTTTTTGCCACCTCCCTTATTAATGGAGGTGTGAGTATACTTTCAGGTCGCTATCACTGTCCATCATATAATAATTTAAATATACCGATATTTTTTCGCACAACTGTCAGAAATTTCATGAATTGTCAAACCAACAACTGCGATTTCTATCAAATTTTATTTTAATTGAACACTATACAGGAAGAATAAAAAGATTGTGGGAATTGTTTCAATTCGCAAATACAAGATTCTCCCATATCATTATGAACAATCGGAGAAAAAATTATATGTTCAACTCGGCAGCAAAGTAGATTGACTGCCTTAGCTGGATTCCTAGCCTCGCTACGCTCGGCTATGAATTCAGCCACGGCAGTCAATCTACTACTTTGCTGCCTAGTTAAACAAATAACTATTGTTGAACCAAATTCAGTATCGATTCGGGAATTTTCTGAATGTTTCACATCAATAGAGTTAACTAAACTAGGAATCTAGTGGACTTCTAGGATAGATCTCCAGTCTTTACTTCTCTACAGCTGATGCAAAACTATTTCGAATTGCTGATCATCCTGAGTTTGATTTATCCAGCTGACATTTCAAACACGAAGAATCAGGCCTCACGTAAACAATGAATACGAGGCAGGCATGAAGGAGGTGAAATGATCGCCAGGCGAAAATTCAGAATGAACAAAATATTTCATTGATATTACATATTTCTCGTTGCTTTATTCAAGCAAGTGATCCGTTCGAAACAAGTTCATTACTACATCGGTATGAGAAAACTTGTATGTTATTGTCATCGAAATTATCATTATTTATTCAATTCAACAAAATGTTCATAGTTGAATCAACATCGACATTATTTTGGATCGACATAATTTGTTTTTGAGGAAACTATATATTTTGTTGATGGAATTGATATTATACTGTTGATTCAATTGGACTACATTCTCGATTCGAACAAGCTGCTTTCATGATATAGTCACGTACCTGGTCAATTCAACAAAAAATTGCACAGTCCAACAAAAATAATTCAAGCATAAATAATTTGTTGATGCAAAAAATCCTTTTTTTTCGTGTATATGACTAGATCATGAACTAAAAGTATGATTGTGATATAGCGTTGATAAGCTGATGTCATACTGAATCGTGATTTCCAAAAAAATATACAGGGGATTCACCTAAGAACCGACATAGAGCAGGGGCATGTAGGGGGACCCAAAATATGTCAATTTAAC